TCGCTACGCAACAGGTTAACGATCTAGGATCACCGAAATTACGACACAGAAAGTTTCGGTGCATGCGAAAACGTTCAAACGATACGTAGAGAAAAGAATTTGCGAACACAAAGGTGGATTCGCCGGCTCGTGTACAGTTTTTTACATTTTAATTAATGTGACCGTCAAAGCGGTGTAGAGAGCAGCTTCGAAATACTGATAAACAGGAGAGAGAGGGCATACTATGAAATGCAAGTATAAAGCGAAACGTTTCGCAAAACTTTTAACGAGCGATGATTTCCAAATGGTTGTGAAAACACGAGTACCGACGACGTTTATCCGAACGTGATACAATTTCGCGTGATATTGCAACCACAAAGGATCTTGTTCATCGCGTTTCCTGCTTATAATATCGAATTTGAATGATGCACGTTCTCGCAAATGACATTCGCTGCAACGGTTAAAAGTGTGAGGGTGAACTTATCGATAAATTTGTAAGGGTTGAATTTAACCAATCACGGGGTGAAATAATGTAATTTTTATGTATAAGGCTTTTTGTTCTATTTGAAGGATTATTATATTATGAAAAGATTTATTGTAACAGGTTTATAGATTATGGGTTGATTCTTGATCAAAATATTTCCCTAAATAAATGGAAAATTTTACAAACTATAAAAATTGGAAAATTTAGAAGTTTGACAACTCTATTTATAAATAGATTAATCAGAACAAGTTCACAAAATAAGTCATCAAAACAAATCTACATTTCAGTCAATTCACGAAAAGAGAAGTTTAACCCCCGTATTCTTGAAAACAATCTCATCACGTTTCATTTACCGCAATGTTATAATATGAATGATTACACGGCAAATAATCAAGAAGTCCATTATTACACTCCGTAATTCATAACTCTCCACGGCGAATGACAAATCTAAATTCTTCGTTCACGGTCTGCTAAGTTCAGCCCTCGTTATTAATAGCGCGATATTTCGCTGACACAAACAGTCGTGTGATAATCCTCGTGCCATTGGCGTGCCCAAGAAAGCACGATTATTTAATCTGTCAAGGATGAAGGTCACTAGAGCCATGATAATGGGCCATGTTTACACGCGAATATGTTTAACGACCAGAGAAGACATTTATCGGTTTCGTGGAGAAGATGGCTATCGATTTCTCTGGGTGGATAGTATCGATTCGGATGAGAAATTCATGGTAGAAACACTGGTACATTTGGAGAAAATGTTCTTGTCATTAATTGCTAAATTTTATGGATCAGCAGTTGGATAAATTTGTAACTTATGAACACAGAGGATACAAATTACTTTTATAATAAATTATATTATTCATTAATATAATTATTTACGTGTATATTTACATATATCTATATTTTTATATTATATACACCTTTAACAAATTTAACTTTATTAATCTTGTTAACATTGCTAACCTTATTTTCCTTTTGTTAAACCATCTTAGCCTATCATTTAAATTATTAATAAATTCCACCATTTATGCCATTAATAAGTCGAACATTCTATGATATATTGCACACCTTCAAATATTTGATTAAGTGACGTAGGATAATTAATATCATCCTATAATTAATAAAATAGATGACAGGTCCCTGTCAAAATTTGCGTGATGTGGGTAATATGAGTGACGCAGCAGTCAAAGTGCTAAGATCAAGGAATAATCATGAATTTGATACGACCGAGGTTTCCAAATTCTTCAGGGAAAATGGACGAACCGACCACGATGAGTAGTTGGAATTTTAAGAAGGAATATCGATCGTTTCGAGGGACTTTCAGTTCGAACGATCCAAAACCCAAGCACGTCGCTTGGAATGCCTACGACTTACGAGTGTTCCTACTTTAAGCTATTCGAAACGCTTGCTCTACGTGACATTGGGACTCGGTAATATTCGCTTTCAGATAAGGAACGCACGAATCGTGAATTGATTCTATCGAGAAAATTAGTTGATTCTGTGGAGCAACCTTAACGTGTATAGCGGTACAAATTGTGTACGGATCAAAAATTTCTGGTCAAGTCTTTATGCAAAGTGTACTGGGGGCAATGTAACTCGTGGGAAAAATAACTATGTGGGGAGGGAGATTATGAAGGTAGGTGGAAGTTGAAATTTTTTGGTTTGGGGATTTGGGGATTTGGGAAGGCGAGTAATTGAGAATTTGCAATTTTGGGGATTTGGGGTTTTGGAAATTTGGGGATTTGGGGTTTTGAGAATTTGGGTATTAGGGAATTTGGAGATTGGAGGATTTGGGAATTTGGGATTTTGGGAATTTGGGATCTTGGGAATTTAGGATCTTGGAAATTTGGGAATTTGGGGATTAGGAGATTTGACAATTTGCAAATTTAAGAATTCGGACATTTGGAATTTTGGGGATATTGGGATTGGGGGATTGGAGAATTTGAAAATTTCCAAATTTAGGGATTTGAGAATTTGTGAATTTGGAGTTTTGAAGATTTAGGGATTTGGGAATATGAAAATTTGCAAATTTAGGAATTTAAGAATATGGGAATTTGCAAATTTGGGGATTTAGAAATTTAGATATTTGAGAATTTAGAAATATCGAAATTTCGGAATTTCGGAATTTGAGAAATTTGGAAATTTGTAGAATTTGAAAATTTGGACCCTGGCTTTAACATACATAAAAATGACTAAAATCAGTGAAGGATGGAATGTAAAATTTAGCATCTTGAACTGGTTGTCCCTGAATGACAAGATCTATAATAAAAGATAGAATAAATTATCGAGCACTTTAATTATAAGCAGACAATTTTTAATCACAAAAAAGACGTCTATATTATATTTCATACTTAGTGACAACAAGTGCGTTCTTGAACATTGGTCTTCATCATCATTAGAAAACAATACATACAATAAAACCTTGAGTAAGAGAAAACATTCATATTTATGTATAGTTATTTTGTTGCACCTATTCATTCTCTTTAAATGAATCATTATCGTATGCACAATCTACAATTTTTATTCTGGATGTAAAATTCTGTTTGTTACCATAATTTTGAGAAAACTTGAGGATTTAGAAATTTAAAATAAAAGATGTTTAAATGTACAAATTTCAAATTAAAGAATGTACAAATCTCAAATATAAGAATGTATAAATTTTAAAATTATCTATTTGGAAGTTGCATATTTAATAACTTAGAAACTTTACATTTCTAAAATTAAAAAAAAATTTCTTCTTGCAAATATCTCCAGAATATTCTGCACAAAGATATTCTGAATATTGGAAGAAATCAAGAGTACGTTTAATATATCAAGCTTTTGTAGAAAGAATGATAACGATAACGCACGAAGTTAATTATAACGATATCGCTCAGTTAAATATTAGCTGTATCACTCATAGTAACCATTTATCAGTACAAGGATAAGAAAAGTAAGGAAAGTGGAAATGCTTTATGTAGTCTACTATTAACACCTTTATCCCTGAATATAAAGTTAGAAATATATTTACAATTTAAATATACAAATTATAAACACGATTTAAATTCGTCACATTTGAATTGTAAGTTACATCACTACTGAATATTAAAAATTAACGCTCTAAATGGCGCTATGAAAACATTCGAGTGAAATAAGACACTATAATTGCAATTCAGAGTATTTCCTGAAAATATATGTAATGTAATATTAACGTTGAAATGTGAATATTAATTTTAAAACTGATATTAAAACTGGACATCAAAATTAAAAATAAAATTTTACTCTAAAAATTCTTTTTGTTTCATTTATTAATTGTACTGATTTTGTGGATCATTGGTCAGTTATTCAACACTGAATGCATTTAACACGTTACATTTTTTTTATCAACATATTAATAATCAACTTAATAAATGAAAAATATTTCAATTGAAATGAAATGACGTACAATGATTAAATTTTTTTCAAAGTTAGTGAAACATCTCATTTTCTTATTAAACATCAAAATTGTTATCATATAATTTTGTTCAAAATTTCAAGATTCGTTTAAGTCAGTAATTTTCTGTCACCTAAATTGAATATGAAAATTGAATATGTCATTAAAACTATAGGTTTAATATGTCAGCTGAATATTGTCTACAATTTGTAACGAAACGTGTAATCAAAAAGGGCACAGTTGAATCACATGTAAGATGCAAATCTTGTCAACAGTCCTCTCAGCACTATTTTCTCAAAGCATTACAGAGTCACGTGCAAATTTTAATCTTCCATTTTTCAAACCACTCGCGAAGAGACCAACACGTTCCACGAGAGCACACAAAATTTTTAAGAAGTTAGAAGATAATCGAATACTACAACAAGAACTGGAAAGAGTTCTTTCAAGTACAGTCTCTTTAATGAATAAACTTCAAAGTACATTAGAATTCCTAGTACATTAAAACTACTTCATAGAACAATTTCCATAAAAACCATGTGGAAGTTACACATGATCATTGCAGATTATGCATTAACATTGTTTTGATTCAAAGCGACAATCGAAGGTCATCAACAAAAATTCTGATAAACCTCTGATAAACCGTAATCACTGATAAACTTCTTATTTCACAATATTACATAATGCAAACAGGGTAAGTCAGAACATATGGTGAAGTAGGATTAAAATTTTTAAGAATATTAGGAACAGTTGAATTCAAACTAGCATAAATCGAGCATCATTCACAGTGAATTCACGATCTAACTGAAATGATGTAAATTCATGATTCAAAACTCGCACCCGATCATAACATTGCAAACACATGGCCATAAACAACTCTATTCATTCAATCCTCCGAATCTCGCAACGTTTGAGAAGTTAAACGATCTAACGATTTCGTCATTGTTAGCGTCATCTCAGCCTACGTGACCGGATGACGTAGCCTCTGAATCTGGAACATGGTATAATCTCAGAACAGGAAGTCCAAAACGGACGAAAACGGTGTAAAGATCTCGGAGCACACGTTCACCCGTGGCACGTGTACGAAAGGGATTCAGCGATCCTCGGATCATTTGAAATGTGACTGACCTTGAGTCGAATTTGGTGCCATCGAGCAGCGTGCCGGTGTAATGCATGGTCAGTTGGTCGCCGATCTTCGACTTGGCGTCGCACACCTCTGGCACGTACAGCTTCTCCACCTTGAAGCCGGACTGCGTTTGGTCGGCGACAACAAGAACGCCGGCGAACACCAGAAACACCGTACACGTCGCGAGCACGACACCCGCGTTATTCAAGCAACGGACAGCCATGTTTCGTTCGTTCGTTCGCTGGCGAATGCTCGTGGGCAACTGAGTCGGTCTGGCGCTCTGCTCCGTTCAGCTACCTTCGTTTCCATCCCCCTACTTCGGTCTCGGCTGCGCTGTACTTCGTTCGGAGATCGGCTAAACTCGTTGGAAAAGGACGAGAAACACCGTGCCGCCACATTGCGCCGTCTCATTGGCCCCACGGAATATGTAGGTCTCTGCCTCGGCCTCTTTTCCTCCTTCCTTTCTCTCTTGCTCGCGTTATCAATCTTTCTCTCTTCTGCTTAACGAGTTGCGTTCGACTCTTGCCTTTCCTTTTTTCCCTTCCGTCTCCTTTTCACCTGTTCCACCTTTCTGCTGCGCCTTCTCTCGCCCACGCTGCCCTTACTTTGCTTCCACGGTTCCTCCTTGGTCCGTCACCGAAACGGGTCTTCCTTGTCGACTGTGGTTCGAAACAGGTCCATTCGTCAATTCTTACATTCCGAACCCTTTCCTGATCTCGAATGACTCTTTCAATAATACTTCGAGAATACTCCTTTGTAATACTCCTTTGTCGAATGCTCTTTGAGACGAAGTTTCTGGGTAATTATAGGAAAGGGTCACATGTTTTATATATTGAAATACTGGTAAAGGTCTTTATGGTTTGAGAACCTCTCTGAAGACAAAAAATTCATCACGCATGCACAGACCACATTGTTAAACTTCACATGTTGCGGTTACCACATGTGACCAAATGTAGATAAATGTCGATAGATTTACTGCTAATCTTTTTCCTTCATTTTACATCAAATATTCAACACGATAGATATTGCATTGACAACTTATATAATTTTGTATTATAATGATTGTACAAGTCAATGAGTATTTAATGATTAATAATCTGTTAAGTAACATAATTGTGTTTTCTTGACTCGAGCCTTGAACGTTGCAAGAAACGTTCATTATAATAAAAATTCCTTAAAAGAAAAATTTACCTTATTCAATTTTATTTTATTCTTTTCTCGCAATAAAAATATGTAACATACTATGTCGTACTGTTAGTTAAAATTTTCTTCCTTATATCACAAATGAAGAAATAAATAGTACTTCCCTTTATAAATAATTATTTTGATCATGAAGTATTAAAAATGTTCTGATATTGATTCTTTAGCTGAATTGAAACACAATACACTAAAACATCAAAAACTATTTATGAATGAACACCAAGTGAAATAATAGAGTAACTAATACCAGTGCATCTCTTCGCATTATCATCTTTCAGTTTACTTTGCCTGAAAGCTGCAGTAACTTAAGGATATTATGACCATGATTATTTGAGTGATCCAGGAAAGTATGTCATGAGACTTCGTGTCTGGAATCCATGTAAAATAATAGGGGAAGGTGGATTGTCTCAGCTAATGGTTACAGAATGCAATGTTAAAAATGGATGACACTTGATACTGAAACAATGATCTGATAAAAGCATAGAATAGATTTTTATTACATTTCTGCCCACCAGCTTAATATAGTACAATTATGGTATTAGTATTATCGTATGATGCTGACGTTACTCAACCTTACGTCACATTATTGGAGAACTAGAGGTTATGTACACCGATCGATTTAAAGTTAAAATAGCAACGGTTTTGAGGAAATTCAGGTGATTTTGGTTCAGATTGAAAGTATAATTGTATGAATTCAAAAGAAAAGTTTATGGTCACAATACGAATAACAAAGTTAAAATGTCAATTGTTTTTGACATTTAGAAAAGTATAAAAAGTGATCATGAAAGATGAAAAATGTGATCAAGAATTTTAATTGCAAAATTTCTGTAAATAATAAAGAATAAGAATTCCACGTATATTATTTTAAAACAGTATATCTGCAGCAGTAGACAAGAGGTTAATAAAATTCTTCTAGAATACAAATGTGTTTGCTGTATTGACAAACAGGAAGAAGCAACAAGCAATTTCCCGACTAGAATTTCCTCAAAAGCAAACGTTGTCGAACGTAAAAGAATTATCGTGTTAAAGAATGATAAGAGTGTATTTTGCAATCTTTGATCTACGAGAGCACTCAGTCTCAAAAAAAAACAGAAATGTCAAGCTTTATTTTGCGACGACTTCTGCATGTCTAAAACAGAGGAAAATAAGTTGCGTTCTTCGTTGACAATCTTTTCAGCTAGCAACGTTACAATTAATTTCCCTTTACTCGTTTATGTAGTACTTGCTTCTCGTTTTATTTACTCATTCCCTTGCAGCTATGCTCCGTTTTTCAGCTCCGTTCAACCCCTTCAACCCTCATTCTTCGAAAGTAACTCTCTTTGTCTAAACCTTTCTCACCTCGTTAGCACTCGATGCTGACGCTTTTGTTTCTCCCTTTACACATTTCCGCTCCTCTTACGTTGTTCACCCTTGTGCGCAACAAATACCGTTCTGATGCATCCGTCCTCATCCCTTTCTCTTTCTCCCTTTCCGATGTCCACGGCTCTCCTTTCACCTTTCTCCTTCGCGATGCTCATCGCCCTACTTTCTTCTTTTGCCGCTCGTGTCACAGTCGCAGTCAAGCGGATTGCAGCATCGCAATACGTCTCTTCTTGCACCCGGGTCTATGCGACCCTGCCAACAACGTTCTTACAACCTGTATCTAGGGTTTTGCCAACACTCTGGAGTACGATCATATAACAAGCTCTAGATACTATATCAAACACTGTCGTCTCGATATATGGCTGCGAATTCTATATATGGCTGGGTCCGCTTACATTACTGATGCTAAGTGGGGTGGATTACTGAATTATCGAGATGAGACAAATTTTGTGTATATGAAAACATTTGTGATGTATGGATAATAATTTAATTCTTCACTTTCTAAATTACTGGAGGATCAAATTACAAAATTCTTTAATTTTCAAGTAGCTGCATTATTAACTTCTCAATATTTTAAATTTCTAAGTTCATGAATTTTGAAATCTCCAAATTCTGGAATTGCTATGTTCCTAAATTCTGAAATTTCCTAATTTTCTAACTCTCTAACTCCTTAACCCCAACTTCATAATTCCATAATTTCCCAACTCCCTAATTACCTTACTTCCTAACTCCCTAACTCTCAAACTTCCTAATTCCCGAACCCCTTAGTTTCCCAACTTTCTAATTCCCCAATTCCCTAATTCCCCAACTTTCCAATTCCCGAACTCTCTAATTCCCCAACTCTCTAATTCCTCACCTCTCTAATTCCCCAACTTCCTAATTCCCTAATTCTTTGACTATCCAACTTCCTAATTCCTCAATTTCCTAATTCCCCAACTTCCTAATTCCTCAACTCCTTAATTCCCAACTCCTTAATTCCCCAATCCCATAATTTCCTAATCCCTTAATTCCCAAAATTGTAAAATTGTAAAATTCCCAAATTCTCCAAATTCCCTAATCTCATAGTTCCCTAAATCCCTAATTTCCCAATTCCCAAAATTCGAAATTCTAAAATTTCTAAAATACAAAATTCTGAAATTTCCAAATCCCAAAATCCCCAAGTCACTGAATTCCCAAATTGCGAAATTGTCACATTCCAAAATCCCAAATCTCAACTTCTCAAATCCCTAAATCTCCACCTTTCTCAACTCCGCGCTTCAAAAAATTGTCATTAGTTATCGACACGTTAGCGTTAACCAGTCTCATGAACGTAAAAGGTAATTTTCTCAGACATCAATCACACGTAGTAAAATTAACGAGCTTCCATATTCGAGAACCGTCGACGGCGGTATCGCGAAGAAGATAAAAAGTTCCGTGCTCGCCGTGGAAAGCAATTTTCTTTTTTCATCAAATATTAGACTGAACGGCGGTTACTTCGTTGACACACGTTTTCCAATTAACGGGAATATAATTCTTTTATTTCTCCACCGATTCCGGTGTAGATCGTTTTTAATTACACATCGAATTGCGAGGATTTCGCGGGATCCCGCGTGAAATTCGGTCGTCACTCGCGAAATTTTCCAACATCCTGCATTCCGTGTATCCCGGATCGATCCGTTTTCCCCCCATTTTTCACGTCACCGGTGTATAAACTTTCCCCGGTGTCGCGAATAAACCCGCTAGACCGCTGCAATTACAATGCTCTCAACTTTGTCCATAATTCTTTTTGCCCGTGAGCTAATTCACCGGCAGAACTCGTCGAACACGATAACACGCGACCCTCGAAAATTCAGTTTATTCGGGAATTAATTTATTTCATGGATCGGTGCTGTATGGCTGGGGTTTTAAACGCAATTTCGGGCGGTATAAATACGCGCGATTACTGCGAAAGAGTATATTGAAGTGACGTTCTTTTCAAGAGGCGCGAGATGTTATAATTTTATACCCCAACCACCCCACTATGAAAGAGACGTCCTGTAAAATATTTGCGGAAACGGGAAAAATGAAACTCCTTAATTCTAGGTGAGCAATTTGAAGCGGGATCGGTAAAAAGGGGCAGATTAAAATTTTTTATCTTTGCAGTTTTGTGCTTGGATATTTGAACACCTTCAACTTTTTCATGGATGCATTTTTTATATTAATTTTAGGGTGACTTTTAATGATTTAATATCTGTGTAATTAATCATGATTGATGTACTCATGATTATGACATTATGTATGTCTACTTTTAATAATTATGGTATTTTTTATTATCATGTGTAGTATAATTCCATGTTTATTAGAAGGGTTGACTTATTATATTTTTAAAGGAATTATTGTACATGTAATTAAGATGTGTAGTACTTGTGAGTTATGATTTTTGATCAATGTTAAAAATATACTGCAAATTCGAATAATTGGTAGATTCGTAAACAGGAAAAGATATAAATATTCAAGGTCTTTGAATTGATGAGGCCAATAGCCTTCACCTCGCCATATTAGGTAACTTTACCCGTACAGGCAGATCTTGCGTCCAACGTGAAAGAAACTAATACGATGTTCTAATAAAACATAGAGGCAGAAGTAAAATCTAGAACCGTCTGTGTCCACATTCGTTACACGAGCACGGCTCCATGGGGGTCTCGGACTAAATTTGCGTCTGGTTCGCAGGAATCTCGACGAGCCGTGACTTCGGCCGTGCTATCGTAACGCGTCTACATTCCGACTTCATGCATACAAATTA